TACACATCGGAAAGTGATGAAAGATTCAGAGTTCTCAGTGAATGACCCAAGGAAATTTTAAACATCTCATTGTAGCAGGACTTTCCTTTCAAGTACAGCGGTTGCTTTGACAACATTAGAACACCGCCTCGGAGGTCAAATGAAGTACAATTAGATTTTTCTTCCTTCCTCCAGATCTAAAGAGAGGTCATGGTAGCGAGATCAACAGCAAGAGCCCAGGAGAAGAAGTTTTTGCTTTTATAAAAGTACTTTTACATCAAGCACACTTTCGGCCTGCTTTGAAAGGACAGTTGTATAGTCTCAATAGATTGAGGTGTCTTTCAGTTTTGTGGTGGTTCCTACAAGCCCTTCTGTATCCTCAGCTGAAGTATGTTGTATATACTTTGCAGAAATATTCTTTAGCACAATAATACTGGTTCCTGTTAGACTAGTGTTCTGTAAGAGACAGCTGTATATGTAAACAGCCAATAGATAGGTCAGATACAAGTAGGTAACATGCAGTGCGGTTCCTGAGTTTTGAGAGATCAGTATCTGTTGTTTCAGAGGAACAGCCGTGTTAGTCTGTATTCGCAAAAAGAAAAGGAGTACTTGTGGCACCTTAGAGACTAACCAATTTATTTGAGCATGAGCTTTCGTGAGCTACAGCTCACTTCATCAGATGTATACCATGGAAACTGCAGCAGACTTTATATACACACAGAGAATATAAAACATATTTCATATTCATATTGATATTTATATATCACATATTCATGTGTGTATATAAAGTCTGCTGCAGTTTCCACGGTATACATCTGATGAAGTGAGCTGTAGCTCACGAAAGCTCATGCTCAAATAAATTGGTTAGTCTCTAAGGTGCCACAAGTACTCCTTTTCTTTTTGAGTATCTGTTGTTGTGCACTATGAATGGCTTAAGAGGTGGACACAAAGATGCAGGGATTGTTGCGTGCAGCTCAAGGGAAAACTAGGTAGACTATTCCTATCTCTGGCCATGGCAGGCCACTGCTGTCAAAAGGTATACAGCAGTACCAGGGCACTGTTTTGACAGCTACACCTTTGCATTTAAAATATAGATTTGAAGCATGCAGGGAAACAGCCATTCTGAATCAACTCATTTTGCTCATATGCAAGCTCAACACAGAGTTCTGGCCTCTGCATCCCAGATTACATCATGTGCCAATAGAAGTCACACTCTAGCTACTAAACTTCCACAACAGGATTATTACCATTGCACTGTAGTGAGACTACACAAAAACCACTCGCTTGTCTCAGACCATCTTTATTTACTATCCAGGGGCATGTCATTCCACCTACCACTAACACATAGCTACCTCCAGGGTGGTACACAGAAGCTGCTTAATAGCACACAGCTACAATTAGAGATGGGACATGAATAAGGATGTCAGACCATGGAAACCATCCAAGGAATTTACAGATGTGAAACCACAACTAGAATTTGGCTAGGACTCGAAAAGGTTAACATCCCTACACTTCAGAAGAGGGTCCGCTTAGATACCGACCGGTCAGCCCCGTGTTTTCACATCTTATTCAAAAGACAGCACCTCCAGATACACACTTGAGAGTTAACAGACAAAGCTGACAGTTTTATGCGTCAGGATAGATCCGTGTTTGCTCTCTGAAAACTCCTTTGGTTGCTCACAAGATTATAATTAACCTCATATGACCCCAATGCAGAAGCACCCTCATGCTGAACTAACCCATAATCACTGCTGTTTCAAACTACTTTTTGAGGAGTGGGGAGGCATGGGGAAAGAGGACCGTGGCAGCGGACATAAACATGAAGCTGCCACATGTGCACTGTGTGTAGAGAGAACAGAAGCAGAATCTGGTAGCCAAGCTCCAACATACAGACAAGAGCAAAGGGACACACCACTTTCAGAAGCGACAGCTATAACTGTAGATGGACATATCTGGGGAATAAAGAGGTTTAACTTTGCTCTGAGCAGGAATCCCAAGGATGGTTTAAAAAGCCAGCAGCCCTTTGACAGGAAGGCTCCCAATACAGCCAAGTGGCGTCAGCATGGAGTGAGCAACAGCATTTCCCAGTTGAGGGAAAGGCTTTACGGTCCTGCTCCAGTTCAATACAGTCCTGTCAGTTATAGGACTAGCGGCATCTCTGAACACTTGCTCGTCTGAGTGCACCTCTCACGCCTTTACCTCTCCTGGGGTGGAATGCCACAGTTCTCCCACTCTTACCTAGGGGCCAGCCTATCAGCCATTCTTATCCCGCAGGTTTGACTGCGTTTTTGGCTGGACTCCAAAGGCGTCTGACCAACAGTCTACAGATTCTACAGTGACAAAACAGCCTTCTTAAAACCAAGTACTGTTTATATTGCAGTAGGAACAAAGCATTTAGATGTTAAAAAAAGTCTACCAGCATGTCTATCTTACCTAAGAATCCTCTGATGGTAACCTAGGCAGGCCTAGCTTCTACAGACACCTTAGCAGGTTCCTGCATCGCAGTCTGACTTGCCAAAATACACCCCATCGCCCATAGTGTTCCTTTTTAAACCTGCCACCACTCTTCTGATGGCCTGTATTCCGAGGCCCTTTCCTGTCCTGGCATCATCTCCTAATTCTCAAGTGTCTGCTGAGCAGTGGCCTGTCTTGAGCCATTTTCTCCCCACCCCAGCCCTCCATTAAACTAAACAAATACAGTCATACAGTAAGCATCCCAATAACCTGGGCAACATACAGTATTCATTAATTATTGCACAGCCATTCTAAATCAGGGTTCGTCAATAGGCAAACCAGCACCAAATCTGGACTGCCAGACGCTTTTGAACAGACCTCAAAAATATGTACTTATTTTTTTGTCCAGAGAAAAAAAAAATAAAAATAATTTACTACCGCACTCTAAATCCATCACACCTGCACCTTAGCTCCCTGCTACCACAATGGATTTTTCACATTTGTAGATTTCTGGGACGTGGTCAGGACACATATGTGCCTGTAACAAGAAATGGTAATATGGAGTGTCTCTTTTCAGTTGCCCTCCCTGCTTCTCTCCCCCCTGCCCCCCGGTCTCCCCCTTGCAAAAGCAAAGACACTTTTGTTTAGTCAGGGGATCTATCTCCCAAGTAAATCAGGACAGTGACAGGAAATTCTACAGCCATCTTCAGCTTGTCTGGACTCTGTACAACACCACTTTCAGGAGTGCCAGAACCAGCATGATCAAAAAGATACTACCGCTGTGAAAGTCCCAAGTGTTCTCAAAAAAAGTGTTCTTGTGTGACTAAGCGATTTCCCGAAGATCCTCACCCCAACCAGGACTGAACATTGTCAGAATCAGAGCAACATAACCTCTAAATGTAGCAATGCAAACAGAAGTCTTATCTTTTCCACCAACAGAAGTTGGTCCAATAAAGTACAAGCTTTTGAGCTACACAGAGCTCTTCTTCAGGTCTGGAGAAGGAAGCGGAGTATCTGAGCTAAATGTGAGTTGGGACAGATTGTTAAGCAGAGGCAAAACAAATCAGGGCTCCAACTGGAACAGGTTACCTAGGCCCGAACACAGCTCACTACCTTTCTTTTACGTTAAGTGACTTCCAAGCTTTCACATCCTCCTCTGGCGATTTCAGTAATCAGGTGCATTATTGCGTAAGTGACAAGTTACTCAATCTAACAGATCACCCCCTCAGCCTGCTGTGTTTGACTCTAGGCAATGGGGTGGATAAAAAACTGAACAGATTAAAACTGCTTGAGTCATACAGTATTTAAAAAACCTCTGTCCAACTAATACATGTCCTCCAACTAGCAACTGAATGCATTAAAGCTATAGAAAATCCACACTCCCACTTCAAAACAAAACTACACACCTAAGAAGCAGAAAGGAGGACATTCTAATAATAAAGAGTCCCAAGGATGTTTATGGGGCAGATCACATCTTAACAGAAACTTCATGAAGACCTCTCCTTCATAAGGACACAGGTCACCTCTCTGCCAATTTGCAATAGCTTTAACATCTGTTGCCTGCGCCGTGCAGGAGGTCGGACTAGATGATCATAATGGTCCCTTCTGACCTTAGTATCTATGAATCCTTGGGGCTGCAACAGCAACTGGATACAGGGACAAACAAGGTTAGGAAAGTATTTAATGTATTTTTAGCCATCGCACCTTCTAATGCAGGTTAACAACTGGAAAGGAAGAGAGCCAGCACCCTGTGGCCTGACATCCCTTGGCAAGCTACTCGTGGTAAATGGGCCACAGTTCCATAGCTTACGGTACCTAACCACCAGAGTTAAAAGCCGTCAGTGCTTTGGTTGTAAGCCTCTAAGGAGGTGTGTTGTTTTTGGGGGGTGGGGGGAGGCATTAACATCCTAGCTCTTCCTCCTCCCAGTGTTGCCTGCTACCAAGGCCTGTAAGCCAACAGAAAGCAGTTACCTGTTTTAGCCTCCTATTACTCAAGCCATTCAGAGCTGTCACAACACAGTATTTGTGACCTAGCTGTTGCGTTGACAGCAAAGGATTGCAGCACCATGACTACTGGATGGGGCCATCACTAAAGGAAGGGCGAGTCCAACCGGGCTATCACGAGGACAACGCTGGGGTTACAACATAAGACTCGTTTCGGGGTGTGGAGCCTTTCCACACTGGCTAACGGCAGGGCCGAGCAGCACAGAAGCGTGTTCACAAGCGGCCCCAGGACCCAGCGACCGCCCTGTCACACCCAGCTGGCAAACAAGCCCCCCTTTAAAGCGCTGAGCGCCCCCCAGCCCAGGAGCGCAAGGGCCAGAGCAGGGTCAGTGGAGCTGGCGGGTCCCCGGTGGGGGGCACATGAGTGAGCAGCACCCGAAGGGCCCAGCCAAGACCCCCCCTCGCTCAGCAGGTTCGCCCGCTCCCCCCCAGTTTCCCCACAGGCTGCCCGGGGGGCTCGGCCGCCCGGCTCCCCACCGGGGGGCGCTTCCCAAGCCGGCTCAGCCGCTCGCGGGGCCGGAGGCGGAGCGGGGCCGGGGCCCCCCCGCTCCCGCCGCACTCGCCTCATGTTGCGCACGGTGCGGCCGCCGTGCCGCAGCAGGCAGAGCGGGACGGCCAGCGCCGAGGCCGCCAGGCACAGGACGCAGTAGACGCCGATCTTGAGCTGGAAGTGGGCGGCGGGGCTGAGCGCCAGCAGCGCGGGCAGCAGCAGCAGCAGCAGGGCTGCGCCCCCCAGCAGCCAGCTCGGCTCCATGCTGCCCGGGGACCCTCGAGGCCGGGCTGCGCCTCCGCGGCCGGCCGGGGACGCGGCGAAGTCAGCCCCGAACTCAGGCCCGTCCGCCAAGGGGCGGCCCCCGCCGCCCTTAAGGGGCGGTTCGCGCACCCCGCCCGGGGGAGGGGATCGGCCGGGCTCGCCTCGCCCCGCCCCGCCTGGCCCGGCCACGGCTCCGCTCCCCCGGGCCCGCGCCGCGAGCTTTCCTTCCTCCCCCTGGCACCCCCCCTTCCTCCCCTGACACACTCACTGACTCTTCCTCCCCCCGACACACTCCCCCCTTCCTCCCCCCTGACACACGGACGGACTCTTCCTCCCCTGACAGACTCACGTACTCTTCCTGCCCTGACACACTTCCTCCTTCCTCCCCTGACACACTCCCCCCTTCCTCCCCTGACACACTCACTGACTCTTCCTCCCCTGACACACTCCCCCCTTCCTTCCCCCTGACACACTCCCCCCTTCCTCCCCCCGACACCTCCTACTCTTCCCCCCTACACCTCCCCCTTCCCCCCCCACACACCCGACTCTTCCTCCCCTGACAACTCACCCCTTCCTCCCCCCGACACACTCACTGACTCTTCCTCCCCACACCTTCCCCCTTCCTCCCCCCACACACTCCTACTCTTCCTCCCCTGACACACTTCCCCCTTCCTCCCCCCGACACACTCACTGACTCTTCCTCCCCTGACAGACTCACCCCTTCCTCCCCCCGACACACTCACTGACTCTTCCTGCCCTGACACACTTCCCCCTTCCTCCCCCCTGACACACGCACGGACTCTTTCTCCCCTGACAGACTCACCCCTTCCTCCCCCCGACACACTCACGGACTCTTCCTCCTGTGACACACTCACGGACTCTTCCTCCCCCTGACACACTCACGCCCCTCTTCCTCCCCCCTGAAACACTCCCCCCTTCCTCCCCCCTGACACACTCACTGACTCTTCCTCCCCTGACACACTCACGCCCCCCTTCCTCCCCCCTGAAACACTCACTGACTCTTCCTCCCCTGACACACTCATGACTCCTTCCCCCTGACACACTCACTCTTCTTCCCCCTGACACACGGACTCGGCCTCCCCCCAACACACTCACTCTTCTTCCCCCCGACACACTCACTCTTCTCCCGCTCAGCTGGACACACTGACTCTTCCTGCCCCCCCGACACACTCCTCACTCACTTTTCTCCCATTCAGCCAGACACACTCACTCTTTCCTTCCCCTGCTAAGCCTGACACACTCTTCCCTGTGCTCACCCTGACCCACTCACTCTTTCCTTCCCCCTGACACACTCACTCTTCTCTGGCTCAGCCTGACACACTTCCCCATGCTCACCCTGACACACTCACTGACTCCTCTCCTGCTCACCCTGACCCACTCACTATTTCCTTCTCCTTGACACACTCACTGACTCTTCCCCCGCTCACCCTGACACTCATTCACTCTTCCCCTTCTTACCCCAACGCTCTTTCTTTCCCTCTTACCCCCACACACTCACTCTTCCCCTTCTCACCCTAACACACTCACTCACTCTTCCCCTGCTCACCCTGACACACTCACTCTGACACTCACTCTTTCCTTTCATCGCACCCCAACACACTCACTCTTGCCTCCCCTTCATCCTGACACACTCACTCTTTCCCCCTGCTCACCGTGGCACACCCACTCTTTTGCCTCTCTGTGACATTCACCCTTTCTACCCAACACACACTTACTTTTCCCCTCCCTGGCATTCGAGCACCAACAGACACTTCCCAGCCAAGGATATTATTGGGCAAGATCCTCTGGGGGTCTTTCCCTGCTCTCCCACCATCCAGCTCACCTGGCCCAGGCCCTGCGCTACCCAGCGTTGGCATTCCCTTCCTGCAATATTGAATGAGACTTTGTCGGCACCACAAGCTAGGCAAGTGATGCCAAAGGGCAAGGAAAAGGCAGGTCCCCGTGGTGTCCATCGGGGAGGAGGGTCTGACCTGCCCAAGAGCGCGCCACATGCTGAGTCCCGGGTTTGATTCCCTGTGTCCATTTGTCAGCACGGTCCATTCTGTATCCCAGGGCAAGCCGCTATGCGGTGTGATACTGACTTCGGCCTCTCTCCTTTCTCCCAGGGTCAGGCACTGGTTTTCTTCGTCTCTTTTTGAAGAGGCAGCTTTTAGGGCTCCTGATCATTTGAGGAAATCTCAGGAAACCCCGTCTTTCAGACACTGGAGGGGAAAGCATCTCTGTGCTTCCATGTCTCTGTCACAGTGGTGGCAGAGTTGCAGCTCTCTGGGTTTAGACGGTGGTTTGTATCTGCCAGTGTCCATCTATGTTTTGTGGTCACTGGAGACCGGGGACTGAGGATACAGAGGAACGATTGTTTTTCATTTTCAACGAGTGTTTTATCCTCTAGTGCTTTGCAGAGGAGAGAACATTGCTGCATGGGTTGAAGTGGCACCAGGAGTTGAATTTTCTTTCCTGCACGTGGATTAGCAGGAGGGATTGACCCAGTTCTGCTGTGAGGATTGCCCAGTAGAGGTGGCAGTTGGATTGTAGTCACAGTCCAAAGTGACAACCATTGAGAAGTCAGCAAGCTTTGCCAAATGTTTATTATGGAAAGAGACCAACTCTTCCTATTGTACACACCCGCTACCCATTATAGAGCTGCTCCTGCAATGCATGAGTAATCCTTACTCATGCAAGTGACCATATCGGGCATTATTCTGATCTCACACTGGTGTAAATTGTAGCAACTCCCTTGAATGCAATGGAGTTACACCACTAAAAACCCAGTCAAGGTGAGGGGGGGAATCACGCTCGACTGCAGTGGGACTACTCAAGTGAGTAAGGCCAAGTCTATCCTTGGAGTGCTTTACCATTCTAGGAATATCAGTGTGCTTTATGGGCAAAACGCGCCTAGTGTTATTGCAGTTCATACTGGCAAAGCATGCTTTTACCAGGATAGCTTATTCCAGCCACCCCAAGCCAAACAAGCTATACTGCTAAAAGCTCAGTTTTGCTGGTATAACTTTGTCTACACTAGAGATGTCAGCTGTCACAGGTGTGTTGGTTGGGGACTATACCTCTTCACACGCTGACCGATGTAATTATATGAGAGAAGTCTGTAGTGTAGATATGGTCCAAGGGTTAGCAGGATCAGAAGTAAACACTGACTAACACAAACACAAAGATTTGGGGGCATTTAAAGAGAAAAGGAGAAAAAGGTTAAAATAATTCACTAAGGCGTGGTCTACACTAGAAACTTTTGCTGGAATAGTAATGTCACTTAAAGGTGTGATTTTTACACCATTGATATACTTGCAAAAGCGCAAGTGTAGACAGTTATACAGGCAAAAAAGCATTTTGCCACTATAGCTTATTTCATTTGGGGAACTGGCATAAGCTATACTGGCAAAAACATTATTTTGCCTCTATAAGCTGCGTCTATTGTCTATATTGGTATTAGCCATATCAGCAAGCCCTTCCCAGTGGAGACAAGGCCTTTCGGTTCCACTTGCACAAGTTGCTCTGTAAGTGGGCTCTACATCTGCACAAAGCCCTGATGAAGTCACAGCAGGACTCTGTGTGGATATAGAAATCTGCCTGTGTAGGACAGTTTGCACGATTGGCACCTGAATGTCTGTAAAGAATTCAGGAAAAAATAAGATCAAGTGAATAAAATAAATACAAGCTTACACGTAATTCCTGCAACTGATTCCATGCAAGTCGCCTCCTGCTCTTGTGCTGAGCCCTGGGGAAGTCTGGGGTTGGGGCTATTGTACAAGTCAACTCAAGCACCTTCAATCTGCTATCTCATGTCTGAGGGACACCCTGCAAGAAAATGTCATGGCTCTCATACACGGGCAGTCAAGGAGCCAGTCTCCACCTGTAAGTGGACTGAGGATTTGTTTGTTTTTTAAGTTTCCTCGGAGTTTTATTTTGCCCCTAATTCATAAGAACATTTCTACTGGACTTAGGTTTTCTAAAAGCTTGTTTGTACAAAATCAAAATTTGGTGGGCAAACGTTAAATTGATCTTGTCCCTTTAACACAAGGTGAGCCTTTGCTTTATAGAATTTGTACCCATTCAACTGCATAATATCTGAATATAGACATGTAAATGTTTTCCAAAGGGCTACAGTTTTTCAAATTCTAAACACATCCCCAATATCTCACGCAGATCTGATTTTCGGATGCACCCTGACATTGTGCATCACCTCTTTATTCCTTTTCAGCTTGATAACACTGCTCACAGAGGTCTGGAATTTCTACCAAACAGAGAGCTCCCTTGATTCAAGGGTGTTCTAAATTTTCACCGCTCTCTGCCAGGTTTATACATTGTTGGAGAGGGACAGTACACAGCAATTTACTAAGCTATGTGTACAGCAGAAACAATAAGAAATGAAACCCTTGCTCCCAGAAATCCACTAAGGGCTCAGACCTGCAAACAGTTAGTACCAGGTGATGTGCTGATAATTGTGAATGAACCACTGAGCTTTACCGCTTTCACTTTACACTGGTATAAATCCATTGTCTTTGGTGGAGTTACTCCTGATTTACACCAGCGTGATATCAAAATCAGGCCCAATGACTTCATTGGGTCAATTCATGGTGGCAAGCACTACCGACCTGATCCAAAGTTCATTGAACTCAGTGGGATCATTTTCATTGGCTTCAGTGAGTTTTGCAATTGACCCTATTTGTGAAATTCTAGCCACATTAAAGTCAATGGGAAAACTGATTAACTTCAGTGGAGCAGGATTTCACCTGAAGACTGGTAATAAATATTTGTAGGATGAGGCTCTCATGCCGTATAGGGCTGTGCACAGCTCCTACCGTACATCAGGACCTAAAAGTCACAAATAGACAGATAACAGATCATAGATAATGAGCACCATGTGGTTATTTTAGTCAAATCCTCCTTTTACAGCCTCTGCAGCCTCTTATCCTTTCACTATGGTCCCTACATTCAATAACGGAGATACAGACCTTTCCCATATGAGAACTTAGCAAAAACAGGGTCTGCCTGTTTGTATTTTTACTGTCCCTCTTAAAGAGGATCTGATAACTAAGCTGCTTTAATACTTAAAAAAAGAGACAAGTACAGCTGTTATGTCTCTTATTTCTATAGATCAAGGTTTGCAGTCCCTAAAATTGCCTGCACCAGTGTTATGCAAGGAGGGCAAGAAAGTTTCACCCCGTGATGTCTCACAGCTGGCCTCATGATTCCCACTAATACCACCAAGAAACCGTATTTTATTAGCATCTAGATACTGTATTATATTAATCTGTGTGGTCTGTACCATATAAGGCTTTTCAGTTATCTTTTGCACCATACAGCATGTGTTTGTGGAAATCTTTGAGCTCTGTTCAGGGCTGGAGCACTGTTGCATTGACTTATTGTGATACTCACTTTTGTTAACATCTTAAGAAAGTCACTCACAGTCTATCACTTTGAGGTCCGAATAGCTAAGCATCCCTGCTTGAAAATGGGTGCCATTAGACAAAAATGAAATTTAAAGATGACATGAAGTGATGGTAGCAAATACAATATAAAAGAGATCATTGTGTTATCAGTTTATTTCACCTACCTGTCTCTCATAAAGTGTTAATGTCTATTTCAGCTGTAAGTTTTGAAGCCCTCTAATGGATTTGCTTGAGCAATGCAAATGAAACACTTAGCCCTGGTCTACACTAGGACTTTAGGTCGAATTTAGCAGCGTTAAATCGATGTAAACCTGCACCCGTCCACACAATGAAGCCCTTTATTTCGACTTAAAGGGCTCTTAAAATCGATTTCCTTACTCCACCCCTGACAAGTGGATTAGCGCTTAAATCGACGTTGCCGGCTCGAATTTGGGGTACTGTGGACACAATTCGATGGTATTGGCCTCCGGGAGCTATCCCAGAGTGCTCCATTGTGACCGCTCTGGACAGCACTCTCAACTCAGATGCACTGGCCAGGTAGACAGGAAAAGAACCGCGAACTTTTGAATCTCATTTCCTGTTTGGCCAGCGTGGCAAGCTGCAGGTGACCATGCAGAGCTCATCAGCACAGGTGACCATGATGGAGTCCCAGAATCGCAAAAGAGCTCCAGCATGGACCGAACGGGAGGTACGGGATCTGATCGCTGTTTGGGGAGAGGAATCCGTGCTATCAGAACTCCGTTCCAGTTTTCGAAATGCCAAAACCTTTGTGAAAATCTCCCAGGGCATGAAGGACAGAGGCCATAACAGGGACCCGAAGCAGTGCCGCGTGAAACTGAAGGAGCTGAGGCAAGCCTACCAGAAAACCAGAGAGGCGAACAGCCGCTCTGGGTCAGAGCCCCAAACATGCTGCTTCTATGATGAGCTGCATGCCATTTTAGGGGGTTCAGCCACCACTACCCCAGCCGTGTTGTTTGACTCCTTCAATGGAGATGGAGGCAATACGGAAGCAGGTTTTGGGGACGAAGAAGATGATGATGATGAGGAGGTTGTAGATAGCTCACAGCAAGCAAGCGGAGAAACCGGTTTTCCCGACAGCCAGGAACTGTTTCTCACCCTAGACCTGGAGCCAGTACCCCCCGAACCCACCCAAGGCTGCCACCTGGACCCAGCAGGCAGAGAAGGGACCTCTGGTGAGTGTACCTTTTAAAATACTATACATGGTTTAAAAGCAAGCATGTGAAAGGATTACTTTGCCCTGGCATTTGCGGTTCTCCTAGATGTAGTCCTAAAGCCTTTGCAAAAGGTTTCTGGGGAGGGCAGCCTTATTGCGTCCTTCATGGTAGGACACATTACCACTCCAGGCCAGTAACACGTACTCGGGAATCATTGTAGAACAAAGCATTGCAGTGTATGTTTGCTGGCATTCAAACAACATCCATTCTTTATCTCTCTGTGTTATCCTCAGGAGAGTGAGATATAATTCATGGTCACCTGGTTGAAATAGAGTGCTTTTCTTCAGGGGACACTCAGAGGAGCCCATTCCTGCTGGGCTGTTTGCCTGTGGCTAAACAGAAATGTTCCCCGCTGTTAGCCACAGGGAGGGGGGAAGGTTGAGGGGGTAGTCACGCGGTGGGAGGAGGCAAAATGCGACCTTGTAACGAAAGCACATGTGCTATGTATGTAATGTTAACAGCAAGGTTTACCCTGAAAGAGTGTAGCCACTGTTTTATAAAATGTGTCTTTTTAAATACTGCTGTCCCTTTTTTTTTCTCCACCAGCTGCATGTGTTTCAATGATCACAGGATCTTCTCCTTCCCAGAGGCTAGTGAAGCTTAGAAAGAAAAAAAAACGCACTCGCGATGAAATGTTCTCCGAGCTCATGCTGTCCTCCCACACTGACAGAGCACAGACGAATGCATGGAGGCAAATAATGTCAGAGTGCAGGAAAGCACAAAATGACCGGGAGGAGAGGTGGCGGGCTGAAGAGAGTAAGTGGCGGGCTGAAGACAGGGCTGAAGCTCAAATGTGGCGGCAGCATGATGAGAGGAGGCAGGATTCAATGCTGAGGCTGCTGCAGGACCAAACCAGTATGCTCCAGTGAATGGTTGAGCTGCAGCAAAGGCAGCTCGAGCACAGACTGCCACTGCTGCCCCTCTGTAACCAACCGCCCTCCTCCCCAAGTTCCATAGCCTCCACACCCAGACGCCCAAGAACGCGGTGGGGGGGCCTCCGGCCAACCAGCCACTCCACCACAGAGGATTGCCCCAAAAAAAGGAGGCTGTCATTCAATAAATTTTAAAGTTGTAAACTTTTAAAGTGCTGTGCTTAAAGTGCTGTGTGGCATTTTCCTTCCCTCCTCCACCACCCCTCCTGGGCTACCTTGGTAGTCATCCCCCTATTTGTGTGATGAATGAATAAAGAATGCATGAATGTGAAGCAACAATGACTTTATTGCCTCTGCAAGCGGTGATTGAAGGGAGGAGGGGCGGGTGGTTAGCTTACAGGGAAGTAGAGTGAACCAAGGGGCGGGGGGTTTCATCAAGGAGAAACAAACAGAACTTTCACACCGTAGCCTGGCCAGTCATGAAACTGGTTTTCAAAGCTTCTCTGATGCGTACCGCGCCCTCCTGTGCTCTTCTAACCGCCCTGGTGTCTGGCTGCGCGTAACCAGCAGCCAGGCGATTTGCCTCAACCTCCCACCCCACCATAAACGTCTCCCCCTTACTCTCACAGATATTGTGGAGCACACAGCAAGCAGTAATAACAGTGCGAATATTGGTTTCGCTGAGGTCTAAGCGAGTCAGTAAACTGCGCCAGCGCGCTTTTAAACGTCCAAATGCACATTCTACCACCATTCTGCACTTGCTCAGCCTGTAGTTGAACAGCTCCTGACTACTGTCCAGGCTGCCTGTGTACGGCTTCATGAGCCATGGCATTAAGGGGTAGGCTGGGTCCCCAAGGATACATATAGGCATTTCAACATCCCCAACAGTTATTTTCTGGTCTGGGAATAAAGTCCCTTCCTGCAGCTTTTGAAACAGACCAGAGTTCCTGAAGATGCGAGCATCATGCACCTTTCCCGGCCATCCCACGTTAATGTTGGTGAAACGTCCCTTGTGATCCACCAGAGCTTGCAGCACTATCGAAAAGTACCCCTTGCGGTTTATGTACTCGGCGGCTTGGTGCTCCGGTGCCAAGATAGGGATATGGGTTCCGTCTATAGCCCCACCACAGTTAGGGAATCCCATTGCAGCAAAGCCATCCACTATGACCTGCACATTTCCCAGGGTCACTACCCTTGATATCAGCAGATCTTTGATTGCGTGGGCTACTTGCATCACAGCAGCCCCCACAGTAGATTTGCCCACTCCAAATTGATTCCCAACTGACCGGTAGCTGTCTGGCGTTGCAAGCTTCCACAGGGCTATAGCCACTCGCTTCTCAACTGTGAGGGCTGCTCTCATCTTGGTATTCATGCGCCTCAGGGCAGGGGAAAGCAAGTCACAAAGTTCCATGAAAGTGCCCTTACGCATGCGAAAGTTTCGCAGCCACTGGGAATCGTCCCAGACCTGCAACACTTTGCAGTCCCACCAGTCTGTGCTTGTTTCCCGAGCCCAGAATCGGCGATCCACAGCATGAACCTGCCCCATTAGCACCATGATGCATGCATTGGCAGGGCCCATGCTTTCAGAGAAATCTGTGTCCATGTCCTGATCACTCACGTGACCGCGCTGACGTCGCCTCCTCGCCCGGTATCGCTTTGCCAGGTTCTGGTGCTGCATATACTGCTGGATAATGCGTGTGGTGTTTAATGTGCTCCTAATTGCCAAAGTGAGCTGAGCGGCCTCCATGCTTGCCTTGGTATGGCGTCCGCACAGAAAAAAGGCGCGGAACGATTGTCTGCCGTTGCTCTGACGGAGGGAGGGGCGACTGACGACACAGCTAACAGGGTTGGCTTCAGGGAGCTAAAATCAACAAAGGGGGTGCCTGTACATCAAGGAGTATTTCAGGCAGGACTTCACGGAGGGTTCCAATAAGAAATGGTGCACCTAAGTTATTGTTCTTATTGGAACAAGGAGGTTAGACTGGCCTCTGACTGATACATGGCTAGATTTACCTCGCTGCACCTTCTCTGTGAGTGACTGCAGTGTGACCTAGAGGAATGAGTCCCCTAGACAGGGGAGGAGGCAAATGAGTACAAAACAAATCTGGTCTATTTCTTGTTTTGACCCACTCCATCTATCTTTTACATCTTTGGCTGGCAGCAGACGGTGCAGAAGGACTGCATGCCATCCACATCTCATGGCTGCTCGGCAGAAGATGGTACAGTACGACTGCTAGCCATCACCATCTCTTGCCTGCCTGGCAGAAGATGGTACAATACGACTGCTAGCCATCCTCATCTCTTGCCTGCCTGGCAGAAGATGGTACAGTACGACTGCTAGCAGTCCGTATCGCCTGCCCGCTCACCATAAGACGGTTCAATAGGACTGACTGCAGGACTAAAGAGAATGACCTGGTCAAGTCACTCCAAATTTAGTCCCTGCGCCCATGTCTGCCCAGGCGCTCCCAGCCGACGTGGCCAGGAGCACCTCGGACACGACGAGGACGACTACCAATCGTATTGCACCGTCTGCTGCCAGAAGGCAATGGGTTGCTGCTACTGTGCAGCAAAGCCGTACCGCGTCTGCCAGCACCCAGGAGACATAGGGTGACGGTTACCTGAGCGGGCTCCATGCTTGCCGTGGTATGGTGTCTGCACAGGTAACTCAGGAAAAAAGGCGCGAAATGATTGTCTGCCCTTGCTTTCACGGAGAGAGGGAGGGAACGGGGGCCTGACGATACGTACCCAGAACCACCCGCGACAATGTTTTAGCCCCATCAGAGTGCTCCATTGTGACTGCTCTGGACAGCACTCTCAGATGCCCGATTGTTTGCCGTTGCTCTGACGCCGGGAGGGGCGCTTACAGGGTTGGCTTCAGGGAGCTAAAATCAACAAAGGGGGTGCCTGTACATCAAGGAGTATTTCAGGCAGGACTTCACGGAGGGTTCCAATAAGAAATGGTGCACCTAAGTTATTGTCCTTATTGGAACAAGAAGGTTAGCCTGGCCTCTGACTGATACATGGCTAGATTTACCTCGCTGCACCTTCTCTGTGAGTGACTGCAGTGTGATCTAGAAGAATGAGTCCCCTAGACAGGGGAGGGGGGGAAGCAAATGAGTACAAAACAAATCTGGTCTATTTCTTGTTTTGATCCACTCCATCTATCTTTTACATCTTTGGCTGGCAGCAGACGGTGCAGAAGGACTGCATGCCATCCACATCTCATGGCTGCTCGGCAGAAGATGGTACAGTACGACTGCTAGCAGTCCGTATCGCCTGCCCGCTCACCATAAGACGGTTCAATAGGACTGACTGCAGGCAGGACTAAAGAGAATGACCTGGTCAAGTCACTCCAAATTTAGTCCCTGCGCCCATGTCTGCCCAGGCGCTCCCAGCCGACGTGGCCAGGAGCACCTCGGACATGACGATGACGGCTACCAGTCGTACTGTACCGTCTGCTGCCACAAGGCAAGGGGTTGCTGCTACTGTGTAGCAATGCCGTACCGCGTCTGCCAGCACCCAGGAGACATAGGGTGACGGTTACCTGAGCGGGCTCCATGCTTGCAGTGGTATGGCGTCTGCACAGGTAACTCAGGAAAAAAGGCGCGAAATGATTGTCTGCCCTTGCTTTCACGGAGGGAGGGAGGGAACGGGGGCCTGACAATATGTACCCAGAACCACCTGCGACAATGTTTTAGCCCCATCAGGCATTGGGATCTCAACCCAGAATTCCAATGGGCAGCGGAGACTGCGGGAACTGTGGGATAGCTACCCACAGTGCAACGCTCCGGAAGTCGACTCTAGCCTCGGTACTGTGGAAGCGCTCCGCCGAGTTAATGCACTTAATGCACTTAGAGCATTTTCTGTGGGGACACACACACTCGAATATATAAAACTGATTTCTAAAAAACCGACTTCTATAAATTCGACCTTATTCCGTAGTGTAGACATACCCTTAGTATGAGTCTGTAGCTCCTAAGTGGAGGAAAGGGAATAATTTCGGATGCCAAATTAGAAAGTCAGGCATGGACCTGTATGTTAGGAAGTGGAGTGGTTATATTGAGTTACTGCATAAAGAAGATGGTTATGCAATTGTCACCGGATTACAACTGCTTATGCATTAATATTATCATAACAAATTGATTTATATAGTCACATACACAAGCCTCCAAGCACTTTACAGAATGACAAGTGAATGTGGCAAGGATCACGTCACAGTCACTGAAATGCAGCCAGCTCTGGGCAGGGATTAAAGTAAGCGGGAACACAGGGTAGCACAGCTACCCCATCCTCTGCTAAAAGCTCAGGGAGAATGTCCCTTCCTGGGCAAGATTCAGCAACAATGTGCATTATACAACATTGTGTATTTTTCATAAAACCTACTAGATTGTGCAGTGCATTTTGCATATTTAAAATATTGATTTAATTATTTAGATTTATTTCAAATGTGCCTCTGGGTGGTTCTAAATGCGTGTGTCCAACACATTTATGCAAAAACAAAACACCACTGACCCTGAATAGATTGTAAGCTCTTAGGGGAGGGGATTGTCCTTTTATTCTATATACAGCACCTAGTCCAGTGGGGCCTTGAACCTCATCTGAGGTCTCTAGGTGCTGCCACAATACAAATATAACAAACCAAGGCCCCGATCCTACATGATCCATTTGAGCAGACCTACCTATGCAGGCCCCACTGCCTTCAGTACAGCTCTGTAGAGGCATAAGAGAGTCCAGCTGGGCAGCTTGCAGGACTGGGATTTAAAACAAAATCTCAAAGGCATAAGAGATTTTTTTGAAATGCCCTTTCCTGGATTGATTTTACAGCACTGTTGTTGTTGTTGTGAGTCCAATCTCCCCCTTTCATGACTGAGAGCCTATGTCTATCAAATGACTGCTTCTCCAGAGCTGAGACCTTGGAGAAGCTTCAGTTATGTATAAATATGCACAAAAAGGTGATGTAAACCAAGGGACTTTCCATTGACTTTAAATCAGGCCAATTCCATGCAGGCGGGTGGGGCAGAATCCTGCTGAGGTTATTCAGCTTTTATTTGTTTCGATTTATTGCCTCCCATGGAAACAGCACAGGAAACTGAGCAATTGCAAGAAGCAGCCACTTTTGATTGAATAGGTTTCACCTAGAAGGGAATGGGCAGCTCTCTCTCTGTCTCTCACACACACACGCACGGCAGACAGAGGAGATGAGACAAGTGTGGGGGGAAACAGGGAGAGCAGTTACAGAGAGGTGCAGATACAGGAGATATGCAATCAATCATTTTGCATAACCCT